ACGGTATCCTGACAGTCCCTGCTGACCTGAAGTAAAAATGAATTTAAGATAATCCTAAAGCCTGCAATACAACAACAAACCTTACTAACTAAATTTTAGAGAAGCATAATCACACTCTGATCAGTTAATATAGCTCCTGGTTTATATAAATCAAAGTTTTTCTTGCAAGGCAACAACCCAAGTTTTTATTAAGCAGTGATGTTCAGTGTTCAGCTGTGTGTTTAGCATTAAAACCTCAAAATGCCATCTGTGATGAGCCTAACTAATATTATCTTTGTGTTTTTATAACTTGTATTTCACAGACTTGGCAGTCAAGGCACAATAAAAAATAAACTACATGAATTTCTGGGGCTAGGGCTGGGTCGTCATGATGATAATTTGTGTCTCACAATTTTAAAATGAGGTGGCAGATGACAATCAGACATCTGTCAGAAAGAAAAATCCAGACCAAGTCTTTAAAAATGGTCTGGTCTAATTAGTTTAACAGCTTCTGTTATTATTAACCACCACTGTCTTCTGTGCAGTGTTTTTTTGCTGTGCCTTTTAGTATGAGCAGATGTTTAATCCTGCTGGAAAACCAGAGTGACACTGCCAATATATCCATAAGAGCCATTTCGTTCGCCTGACGCATCACTAGTGGACGCACAACTCTATGAAAACAACTGAAAACGCCAGTGTGGATCGTTTTCAGAAGAAAACACAGTTTTCAAATTTATCCGGGCTGGTGTGGACGTAGTCACAATGTTTTGTTTTATCTACAAAGAGCTCTTGGACTTCACAATTCAGTTTTTGTCCTAATGTGTGAATTGCGTAAAGTCTCCTTGATCAGGTCATTTCAGAGCAACTCTACCTTAAGTCTGAATATATTCCTGAATATGTTTTTCATGCTCCTGTTTCTCTGTAAATTTCTCTGTAATTTGAAACTGAATTTATAACACAGTGAAGTTTTTAAAAAGCAAAGAGCCCTAAGTGGTTTCTGAGGCATCGTTTCTCTATAAAGCTCTCTGATAGCCATGCGTTGCTCTGCCAACTGAGAACTTACCTTGATCCATGGGTGATTGAGGGCATCTTGAATTGTTAATCTTTTCCTGTGAGACAAAAAGAAATCTTGCTAACTTTCATTATGTAAAAGTGGTGACTATAATGAGCTCTCCTGCTGTGGCACAAGTATCCTTCACTAAGCTATCTCTGAGCTCTTACTTCTTATCCTTCTCGAGTAGCTGGCTGATGAAGCTCTTGGCCCGCTTACTGGTGTGACAGAAGAACTCTTCATCAAACTCATAATTTATGGCTGAAATGTTCCCCAGCGTGTCCTGTTTTGTGTCGCCCAGGAAAGGAGAGGCACCGCTCAGCCTGGAATGAAACAATAAAAAAGTGCAGTTTATTATACTGCTGCATTACTGTGTATATGATATTGTAGGAGATGCCACATTAATATTGGTCGAGGTTAACTTGCAGGATGTAAGTGATGACACCAATGCTCCACATGTCTGCTTCCAATCCAAGGGGCTCATAGTTGACAATCTCTGGAGCTTTACAGGCAACCAATACAAAAATAAATAAATATACACATGAAACAGAAAGGTAAACATTTCCTTGTATTTAGATCTAATATTGCAAACCCTTTAATGCGTTTCTATTTTTAAAGACATGACAGTTCAAAACCAGATTGCTGACTGGATAACTGGGACCAAACTTTACTGCTAGCAGTAAACAATGC